GGGATCGGCAGTTGGCCGGCTGTTACTCATCCTATTCCAGAGGGACTTGACCAGTCACCTGTCACCTGGACGCCTCATCTCGCATGCAGATGACAGAACTGCTGCACCACGCTTCTCCCAACAAGCAGAGTCTCGAAACGCTAAACATCGTCTGGAAACATCCATTTGCGAACTTCAGGCTTGGTTTAGCGCAAACTCACTGAATGTAAACAGGGGTAAAACCGACTTTGTTCTGATAGATCCAAAACATAATGTAAGGAAAACCTTTGATTTCTACTTTGTGAAATGCTGAGAGGCTAACTCTCCTTCACGGCACATCAAATTTCTCGGCGTGATCGTACGCTTAACGATTTCGTGAGAGAAGCATGCCACCAAAGTCGTGCAAAAGTGCAACGGAATTCTAATCTTGCTGTATATCTTCCAACTTAACTTTACACCTGATGTTCTCAAAATTATCATCGAAGCCTACGTTCTTCCACATGTGTGTTACTGTCTATGCGTATGGGGCTGTGCGATCAAGTGCCAGGTGCAGAGGAATAAAAAAGCTATACATGTTGCGACCAGGATTGTCTCTGGCATGAAACGCAGCGAGCAAATAACATCGACTCTGGAATCTCTAAGCTGGCCCCGCATTGATAACTTCGTGAGAAAGAGGGGCGTGCTGAAAGTATTCAAAGTCCTAAGATGCGAAGAATCGCCCCAGCTGTCCAATATATTTCTAAGCCATACTCTTCTCTTTCAATAAGGGAGACACGCTGTTCCGTGCCAATGTCTTTCTACCTACCCAGGTGCCGCCTGAAAGCCGCCAAGTCAGCCTTTCCTTATGGTACCGCGACAACTTGGGATCACCTGCCTTCGACCAGCACCATGACTTCATTGCTGACTTCGAGGGATTAAAATCCGCATTTCAAGACGCAAATTTTAGGTCATGCGCCTTAGTTTTAGCTGGTTGTATTCCATGCTGGTTACCTTTGTGAATTTTGACCTGGTTACCTGTGTTAGCCCATGCTGGTTACTTGTGTGATTGTATGTCATATGTGTGTACGCACGTTATCTTTGCAAGTCAACGCAGGTCCCATGCACTCACAATTTATTCTCTCTCATTTGTGAGTGTGCACTTACAGTCTGTTGTCAATCTAGAAGTTTAACTGCATTGGATTTAACTGGATCATTTCGACTTCGTAGTATTTTATAACATCGTACTAAATCACATCGCGATTTATCCTACCGTATTCTATCGTTTCGTATTTTGCAGCATCATGTTTCTTGCAAAGTTCGTAGCACCGTATCTTTAAGTATATTTCATAGAATCTCGCATTAAATATGGTGTTTTATGATGTCTTGCAGCGAGTGAGTCGTTGATGTAACGAACGGAAGCTAGCAAGCATTGTGACGAGCCGAAGGCCTGAAAGTCCACCACGCGGATGGTTTTCGAGCAAACAAATGCGAAGATAAATACAATTTGGCCATGCAATCACGTAGTCATTTCGTCACATCAGGGAAAACTTTGGATATTGGAGACAAACCATGTCATGTGTGGCTTTTTTGTAGTGTCCACCAAATGTAAGCCCAGACGCTTTTGCCCGCATCCTGAGGATGATATTGACGGCATTGATTCATCGGTCTCATGGGGCTTTTTGTACCAAGTGACATTTGGTCCTCTACCCATGGTGGGCTACGACCCTGTCATTGTTTTACTTGAAGTTGAGACCCGAATTACTTCGTTGAAGGTCTCCTGAGAAGCAAAATCGGAAACCTTATTTTTGTTATTGTGCGGCATCTTGGGTTCAGAAAATGGGTTCACTTCAGCAACAAAATTAGAGACGGTGCAGAAAATAAAAATTTTGCTCGGGCGGATTTTCCCGTTTATACCGTGTCGAACACGATTGATTGCTAGCGTTTCAAACCCACCATCCGACTATTGTAATGCATGTTCAATGAATCCATTTTGCCTGGGTCCCTTATCAAATAGAACGAATGAGCCTTAACCATGGCATGCGACTACACGACGGTCGGCCACCCTATGACCAGGCTGGCACTATCAAGCCAACGGTCAAATGGCTCATTTTGACAAGTCATTTATGGACACTTTTTCTGGAGGGCGAACCTATCCCACGCGTTTCGTCATATCACAAATGATGTCAAGATAACTGCAGCTTTATACCGAAGTTAGGCTCCCGCTACTACGATTGGTGTAACAACAGCGCAACAACGGGTCTTTGAGTTCTGTTTGCAAGCATTTTATGCACTGCAGTCAACTGTTTCTGTGAAAGGCGATGTCTGTTAACTGCCCCTTCACTATTTTTCTTAAAAGATATCCACTGTGAGCTGGAAAGCAGTCACATAGTTAAACTCAAATAAATGCATGACGCCAATAATGGAAACAGTGGTATGTTTTTATAGACGTCCCTTGAGTTTTCGGGGCATTATTAGGGGAAAGTTAAACTTTCATTCGGAGGCGTCCGGCTATTCTGTTTGTTTTTTTATGCACCATTGTACTACTGTAGGAAGTTCGACGATTCGGGATTAAATCACCCTTCTAGGCCGCACGGGAAACGCTTCGCCGAGTACCGTAGGGAACAATACCAGCTAATACTGCGCAACCTCACGCACTTAAGCCAATTTTCCTTGCAGGCTGATCAGTGATCACTTTTTTATGCTCACGAAAAACTGGCTTACTTGAAATTAAATTGACGTACACAATGTAACGTAAAGCCATTGAACGGAAATATACGCGCACCTCAGGCGCGCAACAACGATGTAATAAGCATACCAGTCGGGTCGGCGACCTTGACCCCCGCGGTCACGGGTGAGAACTCACCGGGCAATGACATGCGATAGGGAACGGCCGAGTGGCGCGGCGCGCGGGCCGGGCATGGACGGCCCACATAGACTTTGGAGGCTATCGATGAGCTTTCCTACGCTGATGTGCAGAACTTGAACTGAACTGAATCGTACGCGGTGAATCCTCAGTCACGACATGGAGCTGTCGGAGGTCTCGGTGTGCACATGCGCAGACGAAGAGACCCTGGTCTCAAGCGGCACGGAGACGGTCAGAAGAAATCGCTAACTGTATGTTCCCGAAATGGTTCGGCCTTTCGGAGGTAAGACGACCAGCACTTAACACGCGCTCGGGTGGGGGTCAAATTGACGCCCCAGAGGTTTTTCCAGAATGGTTTCCGAACGGCGTGACACAGTCGCGCCAAATTTTTTCACAGCTGTAGACAATTCAATAGCGGATCGTTGGGCATTAAAAACTTAGATGTACCCGGTAAGGTCGCTGACCTAAGGCAAGGACGGTAGGTCAAAGTCAGGCCATGGTTTCATCGAAGTCAATTTCTAGGGAATCGCTCAAGCTGATGTAACAACGGAGTGCTAGACGAACCCATACATATCTGAGATGCTTTCTTAGCCAACACAAAAATTGAATGAGCAAATAACGTTGGTCTAAAGTCAGGTACAAAGGTCAGACCAAAGTCAAAACTAACCTGTTTTCTTTCTAGGGCTTGCAGTATGAGATAGTTTCTGGAGCTCATTTAGAATTTGTTGATGCCAGGAACTGCAGTATACATCTTCCATGGACTTCTTAGAGGTCAGAATAAGCCATTGACCTAAAAGGATCCAGGTCAACATTTTGTTTTTAGAAACATACTGCCTAGCGTAATCTTTTTCGGTTATTCAAATGCAAAACTCAGAGTAGTCTTGTATGATTTTGGTCACCATGACCTTTAAAAGGTGAAAAAGGTCGCTGACCCTAACTGAGCATGTCGACTTTTGCTTAGAAACAGCTATCTAGGTTCTGGGGGCGCTTAAGAGACCAGCCTGGGAGTTGACTTTATTTCACCTTATTTGACCCGGAGGTTAAGACTTAGGAACCTCAAACTTTGACCTAAGTGAGTTCACGTACAAGTCAACACACTCTGTGAATTTAGTGCCTTTAGCTCTCTTAATTCCCAAGATCTCAGCGGGTGGGGTCAAATTGACCCTCTCCGACCCGAGCGAAGGGTATCTAGCTGGCCACCCGGGCGCGCGTTAAAGGAGACGCGTGCACTAAAGCCGCTCTCAGTCTCCACCTGAAGCGAAGACGACGGGACTGAGCACTGGAGCGCCGGAACAGATCCGGCAGCTGATCGAAGCCGGCAGTGCGAGAGCAATCTGCTGCGTGATATATACTTATATATTATGATGATAATAAGTTGCCCGTCCCGTTGGCTCAGTTGGCTAGAGCGCCTGCATTCCGATCCATCCACCCATGGCAGGGTGGGTTCGAGTCGCTTTAGGGCGCTCGCTATTTGCCCTTGGCAGGTATGACCTACGGCCGGTGGCAGCGGTCGCGCTAAAGGTCAGTTGACGTCAGAGGGCAGGAAGGATTGTGCCGAGCAATGCGGCACGTTGAGCTTTCGCCACTAAATTCTGCCGTTGCCTGGAATTGCGCGATCGGATGGTGGGGGTCAGGCCTTACACAACAAGCACTGCTTAGCGTGAGCGCTGATCCCAGAAATCCATCCATTCGAAGGGTTTGGACCAAATACATAAAAAATACCATACTTGTCATGCAATTTGACGTAATCGGCTCGCTGGCCATGTGCACCTCCGCTAGCAGTTTCTTCATTAACTGTTGAATATTTGCGATTTACTGGTTAGGGTGTCGATAGTATAGTGGTTAATACGTCTGCACTAACCACTACGCTATCGTGATTAAAAATGGTTAACGCGTCTGCATTAACCACTGCACCAAGGGTGTGGGGTTCGATTCTCGGCGGTGCCCGCCCTTCCTGCCAGGGTGAGAGGTAGGCGACGCCATATAGCTTCATTAGCTGAGTGCGTCGCAAAGTTCCAAAGACCGATATCCGCGTTGTTCCGTGGCTATAGCTCACGGCCACATCGCATTGCAATCTCCTTACCAATGACGTCACTACACTGTACAGAGCGGGAGAAGACCCAACTTATGACAAACCCTGTGCACAGCATTGCTTTCACACAACCTTGGGAGCGGGAGTGCGAGTGGGGAGGCGGTTTGTCGTTGTTATATGACGCAGACAGGTAAATGGTTTGTTAATTGCACGAACTGGTAGTATGAAAATCCCAGCATTGGTGAATGACTGACAACTGTTGGCATCTGATCGGCCCTAGAAACAGTCTATGTCATCTGCAAGTAGAAATAGAGCCTTTGAACCTCAAAGATTCTGAGACAATTCTGAGGTCCTTCATGGTGGGTTAGGTTGTGAATTGTGACTGATATGCAGGAAGGTCAGTCAGGTTTTGAAATGCTGATCTTCATTACTTTGCACTTATATGCATTGAAAGTGAGCAATTGCTTTGGGGTTGTATTGGACCAGGAATTGTTTTGATTTAGTGTGGTAACACCTGCACCTTTGCAACTCTGTATGTAGTTCATCTAATGGGTCCATATTTGTTAGCCTTATTATATGATTATTATGCAGTACTTTGGTGTGTGCACCACCTTGTGATGAGCAGGACACATGACTGTAGAACACCACAAGTATTTTTTTAAGATAGGAAATGGAAAGCATGGATAGATGCAGTCATTTTGATATAGCAGTACTTGGCCTGTGCTGATTAAGCATCAGGCCAAGATCAGCATCCTGCTGATTAAGTATGTGGAAGAAGTGGTTACATCTGCTCTGGGATCCCAACTTGATATGGCAGCAAGGCCTACCCAATGCAATATTTTTAGTTTTGATCTCTCTATTGTTTTGCAAAATTATACAGATTTGTAAAGGAATTAATTGTTGGAGGATAAATCAGTGAAGGAAATCTATTGATATAGGCTAAATCCTTGTGGATTATTTTTTCTTTTAACTGCTGAAAGGCAATAACATTTTATCATGCAATTTGTAAACAATGTCAGCAGGCATTGCATAACACTCAGCTCACTGCCTGACCTGTGCAGGCTGCACCACATTCTTTTACACCATCATGCAGGTATATCAAACTCAGACCAAGTGTTGACATGCATAGTGTTTAGTACCCACCATGCACATTTTGCAAATAAAGCTAAATTGGGATTTTGGCTCCTCCTGTTCAACTGTTGTAGAACTGGCTAAAGCACACTGCTCATCAAGATGAAGAACCAGGACCAGTTTGCCTTCATGGGGAATTGAAAGACTGATTATTTGTGGGTCATCAGGTGGAAAAATTCATGTTGAGATCTGTTGGTATGTTTTTGCGGCACAAAATTGATTTTACTGCAATGGTGTGCCTGGACCCCCCCCCCTCAAAAACATTCTGAATCTTGAAGGACCCATTAACAATATCAGATAGAACAGAAAAAAAATATTAGGTCATCATGTGAAGAAAATCCTGCTGAGATGTGCTGGTATGCAGTATTTTTTTAGGAGAGAAAATGAGTTTTACTGCAGAGGTGTACCTGCAGAAAATGAAACCTAGTAGATCCCAAAGGACCCGCTAATGATATTAGGAAAAACATTCCAGATGCAAAGGTCAATTTCACAATGTTCCAGAAAGATTCAAGATCAGTGATGACCCTTTGACAAAATCTGAACATGAATGTGGGATCTCAAAAGACTGTGAATAAAATACAAATGTATTCTGAAAGCAGCTACAGCCACCTCAGAAAACTTCCAAATCCCAGCATTTTCCATACATAATAGCTTATCCTTAAACCAGCATTGATCCAAGAGGCTCTGTAATGGTGAAATATGTGTATTTGATTATGTACAAAGTTTTAAGAAATATTACACTAACAGTCAGCAACAGTGAGGAGATTGGTGTTGCTGTTAATACCTCATTGGTGGTTACCACATAAATGATGTAGGTTCATCGACTTGAGTGAATTCATATGTTCCATGCATGCCAGTCTTTTGATTGTTTTGGAATCAAATGCTCTACATTTGTATGGGTGTTTTGTTTGTGTTTATGTGTGGAACACTCCCCTGAAGAGAATCTCTTGCCTGTTTTGGAATCAAATGCTCCACATTTGTATAGGTGTATTGTGTGTTTCTGTGTGCAGAACACTCCCCTTTAGGGTGAGTTTTCCACATTTCTATGGGGTTTTGAACTGGAATAACCATCTTGAAGGCCATTTGGTGCAGTTCACAGCCCTGTCCTTAAGATATAAACCACTCTAGTTTTTGAGCTACATGCCCACAAAGGTGTGCAGACTTGTCATGCAGAGTACTCTGAGCCACCCCCAGATCTATGATGCCACAATAGCATTACTTAAATCCTGTCACTTCATTGGCCATGTGACAGTCAATGCCAAGAACACGTAATTGTTGAGTCATTCATATCTTGTGTTTGTGAGCATTATTTTTGGATGGAAGGTCTGTCAACTGGCTTTCAATGTCATGCAAGGCATGATTATCCAATCAAACAATGGCATATCAAGGAGCATATTTACATCATGGAAAAACTGTGTTGTCTAGAAGAGTGTTTTGCTTAAAAGTATATCAATAGCTAGAACTGAGCTTGTATCATACCTCTGCCATCCAAAGGCAAAAAGATGTATATACCATGAGGTAGAATAGCACTTGGACATTTTTGCCTGTGGATAGCATATCTGATGCTTGCCTTAATTGCTCCAAATGTAGAACATTCATAAAAAGTCTCTGGCCCATTTGTATTTAAGCTTTATGTCTGTTTGCCTAAGTTTGGTTTACAGGTTTACCAAGAATTAGAAAAACCAAGTTTACAGCTCTACACTACTCTGCTTGGACTTGGGGCACTTTCATTATGGGTTTAGGACTACTCTCCATGTGGTGTAGCAGGTCCCATTTGCATAGACATTGCAGCACTATTACACATGGGTTTGTGGCCCCCTTGCTTTCCTAGCCTGTCTGTTAGGCAATTCACTATTTCTCGATCCTTGAACAGTTCTAATTCTTGAGACACATTGGCTTCAAACTTGTATTGTCTTGACTTTGACAGTAAACAAGGCATGTCCCAAACAGTCTGAATGAATGTGTTTGTTTGCAACAAACTCTGCCAGTGTACAGCCAGGGAATGTTCTGAGTCATTCAAAACTACACCTTGTGTGTCCATACTCAAAGAAATTGTCATGGTTGCTTAAAAATGGAAGCTGGTTGGAGTAGACCATGCAGTAGGTGTGCCCTATAAACTCAATGACTAACTGTGCATGAGATGGGTAGAAAGTGCCTCCCTGAAAAATGTGTGTCAATTAGTGGGTCACTTAGAATGTAATTGTGTGTGATTCTTGGAATCAGTATGACATGTTCTAAATTTGTTTTTGCTAGCCTGTTTTAAAATGGATGCTCACCAAAGTGCCAGTAGAAGTACCAATTTAGGTGTGACCCGACAAACATCTTAAATTTACACCAGATATTCACTTCTTGTCAGCCATGAATTATGTAGAAAAGCTGGAGCATGAGCATGGAGCTCATCATTTTTTATGTTTCTTAGCAACTGGTCCATATTTTGTTGTCCATTTTTCGTCCGTTGACAAAGTGTTATTTTCGTTGTCAGCACTTCCTTGCAGGAACTGCTGACTTGTCAATATGTCCTGCAAACGTTTTAGGTTGAGCTCACTGCTCAGTCTAGTGATGCTGATAATTCAGATAAGCTCAGTCTGTCCGTCACCTAGCAGTCAGTGTATGGAGGGGAAGAGCCGCGTAATCCATTATTCATATTTTCTCGAAGCGTACTATTCTATTTTGTCATCAGCCGGCGTTCGAGACCTTTCGAGTCTCCGACTTGCAAACCTTCCAAAGCCCGCGTCCGGCCGCGCTTCAGACGCCTTCCAAGGGCGTGTGGACGCCTCCTCCCTCGCCGGAGGAGGGGCGTCGCGTCGTCTGCCGACCGGACTGCGACTCAGGCCGCTCCACAGCCGAGGGCGGGCGTACGTCTGCCGCGCCCGCTCTCCATCTGTGGCGTCGGCCGGCCACCTTCGACCGCCCGCCCCGCCCCCACCCTTCTGTCCGCCTCCGTCGGCGAGAATGTGAAAATGCCGACCGCGTCCGGCCAGTGGCGGACACACTGAGACTGGACAGTGTGGAACCACTGGCCGTGGCCGCTTGGTATTTTGCGACGGGCATTCTCTGGCGCGCCTGGACAGCCGGCCTCCACTTAGCGGGAGGAGAAGACGCCGCCCCGTGTTCGCGGACGAATCTGCGTGGTTTGCGCTACACACGTGGGACCTGGCAATCTCCCGTATTTGGGGCTATTCGCCGAGTCGTCTCATCAGCGTTCCAAAATTCATCCAGAAGGGTGTCCGGGATGTACATATAAATGCATGTTATCAGAGTCCTGACTCTCCGGTGGCCTTCGCACCGAATTAGTTTTGCTGCCCTTTGACACCCAACCAAGACGTCTGACCTGCCCGGCCCATTTGTCAAGCCTGAGGCGCTTTGATGCTGGGTTGACCGCCGCCCGGTTCGATGCTGATTGGCTGGTTTTGAGCAAGGGATGGAACAATAGGCAGTGAACCCCAAGCCGGGGGTGTAATAGCATAATGTCCATATTTCGAGTGTTTGTGCTGACGCCGTGTGCCGGGGCCCGGTAGAGATGTCGGAGAAGCGACCACTCAGCGAGGACGAATCCGAGGAGGTGGCACCAGCTAAGATGGGCCGACGTGAGGCGCCGACCACAAATGGCGTGAGCGGTACGGAATCGCGCTGGCCTGTCCCGGTCACCCCGCCGGCAGGATCACGCGATGCGTTTATCCGCCTTTCTTTCGATCCGTTTATCTGCCTGTCTTTCTGTTACTCGCCTCGCCTCGCCTTGTCTCGTCTCGCCTCGTCTCGCCTCATCTTATCCCGCCCCATCTCGTCTCGCCTCATTTCGTCTCGTCTCGCCTCACCTCGCCTCATCTGGTCTCTTCTCGCCTCGCCTCGCCTCGTCTGGTCGTCCTGCCAACCTCTGCGTCAAGATGGTTATAGCACATCTGATCTTGCTGGGGTTGATTGCAAGATGCAGAGTCTCCTCTAGATGATTTATCAATATCAGTCATGGTGATATGATGCGAACTGCGCAAACTAAACAACAATTATACGTTTGTTTTGAAGCAAGGTGGTGTAACTATATGGTTTAATTGCTGATCTCCTGGTGTCATGGCTTGCTCTTGAGATCGTGCTTGTATTTGGATCCTGGTCCTCCAGACAGTGCATCTGAGCTAGGCCTTGGCCCTGCGGAATTTCCCAGCAGCTGGAGGAATTTAACCTGTGTTGAACGCCGTAATTTCAGTTGCACTTAGTGGTCCAAATTCCATCCCAACGCGCGAAACAGCTGTGCAAGGTCTTCGTTATTGCGATGCGTAACAAGACCGGGCTACATTTTGGGAAAAAGCTGATTTTGAAATGATGATCATTCCTATCCATAGAAGCATCATGTGTCAAATTCCACGTGTCAGTGGCATACACGTGGCGACCTCTAGTATTCACCTCCCCGTGCGGCAGGCGAAGAAGAGCCGGCCACGCCGCTGCCCATCTCTAACCCGTTCCAAGAGCGGTTCCGCGCACCCGGGCTGTCGGCCGGAGAGTACCACGTGCTGGACGAGGCCCGCAGCGATGACGACGGGGACGACGGAGCCGACTCCGACTCCGACATGGATGAGGACGAGCTCATGGCCATGCTGGACGCCGGTAAGGACCCCGTGGTATTCATCCGATGCCCGGCTGGGCTCACTGGTGCCACGACCTCACAAGCGTAGTGGGCGTGATTCGGGGTTTAGAGCCCGCTCACATGGAAGCGTGTTGTATGACGTGGTTCTTAACATTCTGCATATGTTACGGCGGAGTGCTAGTCTCACTACCCGCCTGACACGACTTTGGTTACCATACACCCTGTCGCGTATCTCGCCTGCCACCTTCCCCAGTCTGTCTTCTGTTTCAACATTAGCTGACTAATGTGATCATGATTTAGCTAATCATTATTCGTCTATCCCACCCCCATGCAAAGCTGTCATGTATCCCACTGGTCCTCACAAATTAAGCTGTGGCATCCTGTTCCATGCATTCCTTCCCATTCTCATGGTCATTTATGACGCAGTCATCCTTCACATATCTTCATACCTTCTCAATATTGGCCCCACAGTTTTGCCCTACTTGTCCTCTTCGGTGGCAGCCAGGGTCGGAGTGGAATACCACTGCCTGATGATATACTGCTAATATTGGGGTTTTAGGAACTTTGAGCACACGTTTGCAATGTCAATTCCTCCTTACCTCGACACGGCAGCCTCTTTTACACTAGGTGTTCGGGTCCATTCGGATGAGGCGTGAAGGCGTGTAGCCAAACGTCCTTTCCGCCAATACAGGATGGCTCTCATCCTTAGTGTCGCTCAGGTAGCGTCCTTGCCCCTGAGGAGGGCCTGTCCTCACGCAAGTATTTCCTGCCTGAAATCTTATGCCGTCTTCTCCGAGACCCAGTTATACTGGGCTTCATCCTGCCTTCCTGACAGGGCGTCTCTCCTGGTGATTTTGTTTTCACCCGGGCTCGCTGCTGCCCTTCCGGCGCGGCCTGTGCGCTCGGGCGCCCAGCCCGGCCTGCTGACCCGTCGCTTCCTTTCTATCTTCCATACCGCGACCCGCCTGCTATACAAAGTTGGAAGGAATTGCAAGGGAAGAGAGGGGTGAAGTAGGGACGATACTTACAAAATAAAACAACATACACACGTATTAGTTAAGTTTAAACTCCGCCTTACAGTCGTCCCGCTTGAACAGCGCGAGGTTTTTAGTGTCGTTCGCCCACACTGCGTCCAGTGTGGCTAGCAGCATGCTCGCTTGGTCGTGGAAGATGGAACCGTCGAAAGCATGACACTGACACCTGACGCGTGTTGGTGTTGTGGGTATTCTAATCTCTGAGGCGCCTGGCTACCGCTAGACATGACCTGACGATGTCCCGCCACCAGACCTGCCCGCCAAATTCAAGGGCACGCGGCGCCTGCGAGTGCGCGGAGAAGAAAGCGAGGAAACCGGGGAAGCCGAAGAGGCGGGCTACGAGGAGAGAGACAAGGTGGTGCTCATCGGTAAGGGCTCACTGCCACAGGTGTATGACCTGGGGCCGGTCCAGTGGCCCTGGCTGGCCCGCCACCAGTGAGTGTTAAGTTTAAGACCCGGCTGATGCTGCATGCCACTGTGATGTTCCATTTGTTATGATCGTGTGCTTCTTTTGGAGCACACAATCTTCTTTCTATCAATATTTCCTTCTACGCAGAAAGAAACGATCATGTGACACGTGTGGTCTAGACATCGAGCTTTTACCGGATATCAACTATATAAACTCATAATGCAATGCGAGTCGTTAATACTCGGCCAACTGGGTGACTGAGCGATGTGTCGACTGTCTGTCTGTCTGTGGTGCAGAGCGCGGTCGCAACCCGGTGGAGCCGCTGCCTGAGGGCTGGGTGCAGGTGACGCACATGAGCGGCCTGCCCGTCTACCTGCACCGCCAGTCGCGCGTCGTCACCATCACGCGGCCTTACTTCCTCGGGCCCGGCTCCGTCAGGGTAGGTGGCGCCGCACGCACCTCACCATGCAACGGTGGCGCCGCTCATGGTCCAAACTGACGCTCATGATCCAAGTGTTCCACACGTAGAAAGTGCACCCCGTTGGTTGGTGTACTTTTGCAATGATAGCAATGGCAGATCATTTTCGATGATGTTAATATTTCCTTTTGAGTGTGTCAGCACTTGTCTAGTACCTCTTTTTACGTAGACTTCCAGCCACGGATTCGTCGTATTTTATGCCACAGCGTTATCTTGCTTGTGATCTCAGCAGATCATGGAACTTATTCAATCAGAACGGAATCCAGTAGATCCTCACGAGCACGAAGAGCAATTATAGCTGATTCCTTGTCTCTAACCCTTGCACCTGTGTGTGCCATTCAAATTGCACTGATGTTAGTTGAAAACTGACATGTAAGAGATGGTTATGATCTCATTTTCCGTTCTTTTCTTTTTCTTACAAATGACTGCCTCACCACAGATCCACAGGCTTTACAGCCCTTGCCTGAAGCGTGACAGGCCTCATAGGCCGTAAGCTGCTGCCAACAACATGTTTTCACTGGAAGAGAGGGTAGGAAGTGTTTTCGTTGTCGAAGGGAATGTTTCACATTCGATGGTATTGAAGCAAGCATGACATGTGATGAAATTGGATCACTTATAACTAACGTACTTAGTGTATCTTCATCACTTATAACATGGCGTTCCTTTAAATAGAAAGGACTGCTCTAGACAATGCAGTCACTATTTAGTGAATATCCTCCTCAATACGAAATTGCTGCATTGTGTCATGGAACGTTTGTATGAAACAGAGGTGCTGCCCACCCAGCTGTGCGAAATTGACACCCTAGCACTGGCGCGTAGCATTTCAAGTCGCCGAGAGATGGCAGTGATGGTGCTGGAGTTGTTCGCTAAGCTAAATGTCGTTATGCGCTCGTGTTTTAGCCCCTTTTCATGGTGTTCTGGCATGTTTAACCGTGATTCTAATATGTTTGCTCGTATTTACATACTCGGTTATGACGCTATTTTAAGTAGTCTCACATACGCATATGATGATGCGTGGGACTATGTTTGTTCCGGTTTCGGTGAGTGAAATATGCGTATCAGATTCAAAGCTTGAAACATCCGAACCTGTTATCCTCTACCTTGCTTCATCCTGCAACGTCGCGACACCCCGCTTGTCCGGGGTAGGCTGTATGTGTTAGCCACGAGTGGGCCGAGAGCCCCGTGGGAAGGGGAACCTTGACCGGATACTCAGCTCACATGCGCGGGTTTAAGCCCGGCAGCTGACCCCAAGCTCATGTACGCCTTCCCCAGCGTGAATCATTTTCCTTCGTCCCATAGTCATTAAGTGATCATTTCTGGTCGAAAGGGCTCTAATCCATACAACCAGACCAAAGCTTGAAGGCGTTCGGTATGGCCCCATGTTGTTTCTTGTTTGCTGAAACGTTACGCATTGACATGTGTGTTCTCTCTATATGTATCCGTCTTCACGAGATGATTTTCCCATCGACTGATCCGTCTCGTCGAGCTGATCACAAAGCATGCATCACGTGTCTTATTTCAATGACAGCTATAGAGGCTGTGGCTTGTACCACCAGATGTCAGCTCGCTGACCACAACACAGGATAGTATATTGTAGTATGTGAGAGGCGCTTGCGGATTTTAAGATTCAAATAAGTACACACACACACACACACACACACACACACACACACGCACGCACGCACGCACGCACGCACGCACGCACGCACGCACGCACGCACGCACGCACGCACGCACGCACGCACGCACGCACGCACGCACGCACGCACGCACGCACGCACACACACACACACACACACACACACACACACACGCGAGCGCGCACGCACGCACGCACGCACGCACGCGATATATATATATATATATATATATATATATAATGCATTTTTACCTTCTATAACTGAAAAAGAAGCGAGATGCTACCGCGAAATAAATTCTGCCTGATGTTCATAGCCAGTAAACTGAAACAATCGCGTGTTAAACGACTGCATGAAATGAATCGCCAGCTCTTCATTTTACAATGGTTCAGTTGACTCGTTGTTAACCGATCAAACTCAGAAACTTGTTTTCGTTTTTACTCGTTAATTTTCGATTACGGGCATGAAACAGTAGATGCCATAATGAGCGGACTGTGAACCACTTAATTCTTTCTGGGAAATGGGCCTCTTTGAGTCAGAATTTCGATATGGGTTGTACAGAGAAAATGAGGATGCCGCAAACGTAGATTGACGATATAAATAGGTCAGCAAGTTGTATTAACATGGTCAAGCCACGTTTGTCTGGGGATGTTCGACATTCGGCCTGAATCGATTAGTGACACAAATTATGGGACGTAGTTCTGAGCGTGCGTGCTCGCATATCTTAGCAGCAAATATCTCGACACCAAGCGTTGCATTCTCCGTAGGCCGCGCAGTGTTTCGGCCTCGCGGTAAACAGGCCATGGCCAACAGATGGACCAAAGTGGTGAAGCACTCGAAAAAGCAGCTTTGAACGCTGTAGGGCATAACACCGTATATTAAGAGATGTTTCGGGCGTATATTTTACCGGTGCAATTATTAGATTGATGCTAATAACGAATTGGCCTTTACAGCACTGAGAAGGGGTGCTGGAATCTGGTGGTGGATCGGGGAGACTAAAGGAAGAACCTCTATTTTTCGTGTTGCTGTAAATGTTATTCCGTCCAGAGGAAAACCTCAAAGTTGTAAAAGAAAAGTGGCCTAGTCTAATCGTTGAGTTATACGAATTTATTTCGAAAGACATTCAGAAACATTATTATGCTATTTTGCTGGTTTCTCGTGCGCGCAGTGGTTAACGCAGGCTAGACTATTGGTATCCAGCGCGCAGGCTCAAACCTTTCGGTGTTATGTTTCACTAGTTAATTCTGAAAAAGAATGAGCGTTCTCAAGCAAACATAGGATGGCCTTGCGCATTTTTAAAGCCCTTTCGACCTATTATTCCATTCAACACTAATAAGACTCCTTTGTTTGTCTATCGTTTATTTTCTATTATGGACATGAAGCAGTAGATGGTATGATCAGTGGATTGTGGACCCCTTAGGGCCCTTATTTCTTTCCTTGGTGTAGACGGTTTGATTCTTTCCGGGAAAGGGGGGGGGGGGGGTCCTCGAGTCCAGCACCATGGAGCACATTATTTTTCCCGGTCAAGGCTGAAGGGCCATTCTGTCCCACCTCTGGTGTTTTCGGACCGCCATTCTTGCGACACGGGGCGGCATCCCCTGGCCGATCCGGAGGCCTTAAGAGGAATACATCATAGCACATTGATCCCCTCCCTGACGCGGGAAGCCTTCTGACCCGCCCATTTGACCCCGGATCGACGCATGAACTGTCATTAACACAACATCCCTGCTCGCCGCAGATGGTCAAATAATCAGCACAGTGACTCCAGTTGGGCTTAACAGTCCCATGCTGGAATATGGTTGGAGGGCCCACCGGTCGGTACTGGGGGCCCTGACTAGCACAGGACTCTTCCATTACCTTAACGTGAGCACTCATCATAAGTTCGCTTGTTTCCTTCAATTTTCAGGGGGCCCCGACCAACGCAAGACGCCTTCTGCCATTCGGGCTCACGTCCCCGCCCCTGTTAAGCAAATGTTCCCCTGACCGATTCGAGGCCCCTTGTTGACATAGAATGCCCCGTTGGGCACTGCGGGCCCCTGAACGATACGGGAATCCGACCGATGTAAATCGCGGGCCTGGCCATGTCCCTGCTTAGGAAGTGGGCCCCCAGAGCCCAGACCAACACAGAGCTGATTGTTCGTTGTTCGTGATCTCTGGACGCAGTGGAGGAACGCTCTGTCTTAGGGGGCCCAATGGGTGCAAGAGATCATCCTACTGGCCTTTGGGATAACGGCCCTATCGGCGGGGATCCTTAATGTGACCTACAGCCAGCCCTTCGGACCCTTCAGCCTTCCAATGTCCCAGTGTCAATGTCATTGTCGGAACCTTGATATTTGGTCTCGATGGACCCTTTGGCCCCCTTTGGGCCCCTCAAACACCGCTCCGACTCGGGCCTCTTACCAACACAGGACCCCGTTAGTGGCTGTGGAGCCCTGACAGGTGCTTAGGCCCCGAGTTCCGACCAATGTAAATTGCTGGCTCCGACTTGGTCTCTTCTTGGGAAATTAGCCCTCAGTTCCATGCTGTAACGGAGCCGACTCGGCGTTACTAGTGGTGTCTGGCCGACATATAGACCCTTATCGACTCGGGGGCCCCTGATCGGTGCGCAGAGCCCTCTGGCTGGCATGGGGGTGCCCGGCCCTGCAGACCGGGGCCCCTGAATGCGACCTCCGGCCGACATTTCGGGCCCTTAAATCGGGCCCTTGATCGCACGTTCCGGGGGGGGGGGGCCTGGGGAGGGCGGAGGCGGAGGTCCCCACCCCCCCGCCTGCGTTACTGGTCCCTATGCTATTGTATATATCATATATCAATAGCACACTGTTCCGCATTCAGTTGTCGCCAATCCACCATGCCCTGCAGCCGATGACATACGCTACCGCATTGATAGGCCCAGATGTACCGGAGGCGCAAAAGACGAGGTAGGCATTGGCGGTTGGAGAGACCTGTCGGTAAATCTGCGGTTGAGACGGCGCTTCATAAGTATGTTGGCTGGTGTAGGGATTTGTAGGGTCTTGACGACAATTATATACACATTTGGATGTATGGGTCCCAGCAAATAATGTGATGTTGCAGAAGCACGACGTTCCTCTCTACTCAATACCGTGTCTGCAATACCTACGGGAGCTACAGAAAGAAGAGGCTGAGAAAGGGACAGAACTAGACACGCCGGCCTCCTGTCCAGTCACCAGTACCCAGCCAGGTACCCCTGCCACTCGTCCGACCCAGCCGGACGCTGAAGACTCGTGCCCTGCCGGTGGTGCTCTGCCAGACACCGCGGCATCCCGTCTGGCCGCTGGTCCAGCTTCGGCAGTTGGGGACCAAGTGTGTCCATCCGGCGGTCGAGTCTTAAACTCTGAAGACTCACCGCTGTCACCAGCCGCGGATGACGCTGAGCGCTCGGCCGGTGGCAGTCAGATGGCACTGGCCGGTGCCGAGTTGGCCGCCCCAGCCGCCGACAGCCGGGCGCTGACGGCCGTCTCGGACACCGGGCGGGGGCTGAGCCCCAGCGCGGCGGGGTGGGGGTCTGGGGCGAGGTCCGACACCGCGGAGCCTGAGGCAGGGTCCGCCGACGGCCCGGCCCAGCCGCAGACCCCCGGTTCCGGTGGCGCCAGCGCACCTCAGTCGGAGGCAGGGTCCGCCGACGGCCCGGTCCAGCCGCAGACCCCCGGCTCCGGCGGCGCCAGCGCACCCCAGTCGGAGGCAGGGTCCGCCGACGGCCCGGCCCAGCCGCAGACCCCCGGCTCCGGCGGCGCCAGCGCACCTCAGTCGGAGGCAGGGTCCGCCGACGGCCCGGCCCAGCCGCAGACCCCCGGCTCCGGCGGCGCCAGCGCACCTCAGTCGGAGGCCGCCGACGATGGCACGGGTAAGATGGCGAGCTCCCGAGGCCGCCCGCAGCCTAGTGGCTCAACTCGCGTAACTTGGTTCGGTTATAAAGCATATCTATTCTCGCACGATCACTGCTATTTCTGCCGTGCTCCGTATGTTTTGTCCTGTCAACTTCGCTTTTACTTTGCAAAGCCAGTAAGCTTATTGTGTTTTACGCGACAGATGTGTAGGATGTTGGCTTGACGTCTGTATACGTATATATATATATATATATATATATATATATATATATATATATATATATATATGGGGTCAGAAGACGTGGAGTCAATATATGCCAAGAATAGCGTGAATCGACGTTTTGCTGAAGCTTTTGTGACGTCATTTGGGCTAGGATTCATGAGGCGATACTCACCAGTCGTTTCTGTCACTTGCCAGGTGCGGGTCCAGTTCCCGTGGAGGGTACGTCGATGGTGGTCAAGGACCCCTCTCTCACCCCGACCGAAGTGAACGAATACTGCTTGAAGCGTTTCCAATTCAAAACAATCCGCCTAATGAAGTTCACGTAAGTATGAGCTGGTGTGGTGTTTCTGGGGATGATTATCTTGGTGACACACTTAAGCCACCGCCCTGGTACTGAGGTACGCGTGTTTTTTACTATAGCGTTTTGATGGGAACACATGTAGTTCCTTTCACTTCCATCACCTCCCAGTTCCACCAACTAGTCTGTGGTGTCTGTGTCACCAGTCTGCATACACTAGTATGTGGTGCACGACTCTTCCCGTAGCAGCGAGTCAGTTCGAGTCTCAACAGCTCGGAATGCTTGTCGTGGAATACAATGCATACTTGCACCAGTGTATCTCGTACTCGGTTATGCTCGGTACTGGCATGCGGACCTACGTAAGCCCACCCCACCGCAGTACGGTGCTTTGTTTTGGACCCAATGCTTTCGTCAATGAGTTTTTCTCTTGCTCCCGTCCGAGCGCCGGCTTTGGTGGTTCGGCAGCAGCATTGTCAACTCCGATAAACTGCGCTCTGCCGCAGCTAGCCTTTTGACAATCATAGAGTTGTGATCATGTGATCTGCATATCGTCATATACTGTCGTCAGTTAAAACTGCGTTGGGGCGTCAATGCATTCTACGTTAAATGCGCCCTTCTTTAAGACAATATAGACACCTGTGTATGTGAAGCATGGGCGTGAAGGTGCCGAAGCGCCGGCACCGGGCACCGGTTTGGGCGCCATATGACTGGTGCAGTCGGCGCGTCCTGAAGCTCAAATCAGTATCGTCATCACTAAGCCCTGGTTTTATGCTATTTGCGAACCCGCGTCGCATTGCTGGCGTTGACCCGTCCACTGCCCCTGCCAGAACGTGGAGGGAGCGCCGACAGTACCTGCGCAAGAAGCGCATGCAGAGGCCGCAGATGTCCAGCAAGACCAAGTTGCTGTCGTTCCCCGTACAACCGAGCAGTGAGTCGGGCCTGTTGCCGGTGGTCGCCAGCGGCAGGACGTGCTGCGGTCTCGTGTGCGGTCTCAGGCGCTCTCGTCTCGCGTGTTGGGGGATGTGTATTGCCACATGTCGCCGCATCACGTCATCACTGAAGCCCCCCCCCCCCCCCCCCCCGGCTCTTTACTGTCGAGAGCACTCCGCTGGCTGGTCGAATCCGTGTTAGCGAAGCGGCTTGACGTCAGCTCGTCGGCAGGGAACTCGGCGGCCGCGTCCGCTGCCCGGCCGCGCGAATGGGTGCTCAACCCAGGCGGCAAGAGCTACGTCTGCATCCTACACGAGTATCTGCAGCACGTGCTGCGTGAGCAACCCGTCTACAGCTACTCGGAACTGGGTCAGTGAACACGCTGCGTTGGGTACTGTGGATTGGTGTGTGACGTCGGCTGAATGATCTGTACGTCTTTACTGCCAACGTCGTGTGTGTATGTTGTCTGGTTGTCTAGTGTGTATGTTGTGTGTGTGTTGTCTGGTATGCTCATGAAGGCGAGGTTTTGTGCATGTAGAGCTGCATTTTTGTCGGCTTTTATGCATCGAAATGGGAGTGTGACGAATTTGTGAGGGACGAGCAGACAGGTGATAAGGTGATCATTTTTTTGGAGGGGGGGGGGGGGCTCATCGACTGCAAGGGGTCACATAGTGTCCAAACAGGCAGGCAAGAACGATGGTTGCGGCGACAGACGTATGCTCAAGAGTTTGGCCCTTGAGCGACAGATGACGTGTTCAGGATCTGTGCGCGGGGGTGCCGGTAGTGTAGTGGTTAACGTATCTGTGTTAACCACCGCGCGTTTGGAAACCAGGGGCACTAGGTTCGATTCCCCGCGGTGTCCGCCCTTCCTGCCAGGGTGAGAGGCAGGCGACGCCATATAGCCTTAGCGACTGAGTGCGTCGTAAAGCCCCAATGACGCGCAGGATCTGTGCGCATGCAGTTTGTATCGGTTTAAGTAAGCTGCATGTGACATTGGGACGACAGCACGACACAAAAACAAAGAGATCCACGTGCTGGTATGTTTGCATACGACCTCACGGTTTAACAACACGTAACCCTGAAATGTCATGCCAGTGTATACCGTGTCGTGTGGACGACTGGCCTGCAGCCGGACGTGGGCGGTCCACTGTACGTCTGCGTGCGGTCCGCAGAGAACGCCGCCACGCCGTACGGCGCCACGGTGTCAGTGCAGGGCGTGCGATACGGCAGCGGCTACGGCCCCAGCAAGAAACAGGCCAAGTCGGAGGCGGCCAAGGCCACCCTGCAGATCTTCATCCCCAACCTGATGGACGAGATCGACGCCGACAAGACGCTCAAGGGCAGCACCAAGCCAGCCGATATGGACCTCTCTGTAAGACTCCGGGGGCTGGGGCACCGACACGGCCAGTGTGTGGTGACCAACGGCTCTCACTATAACGGAGGCAGAGGAAGTATGTGTTCTATTCGGTGGTAGGATTACAGAGTTGTGTGGGATGATGACTTGCTTCATGCGAATGGGGCGTATTGGTCTACAGGTGGGAGCGTCGAACTCTCGTGGAGGCCCGGCGTTGCTATCCTGGTTCACCATGACCACTGAACGCCAACACGGCCCTTGCCGTCGCTGGCGTCACACAAAACGGGTCTTGACGGCTTGCATCGCGTTCCCTTTTTATGAAAAAGTTAATTGCGGAGGCCGTGGTAAATAGAGAACATTTGAGTCACCTGCATAAGGGACGTGTCTCACGCACCTGGTGTCGTTGCAAGGTTCGGCGCGCCATCAACGTTGCTCAAAATATGGAGCGCATTTGAGGCGCTTTTTTACATGACACGCTGCCGTACAACATGATACTCCAATTGGTTAATGGCTTTTGGTCTGGACTTGTAGTGTAGTTTTGCTTGTTGATATGAGGAACTCGAGGCATAGCTGATGGTTGTCGTGGGCAGCGTGTGTACATTGCTCCTGTGTGCGGCGCAGTTTTTCGACTCGATCCGTCTGGTGGACCCGCGGGTGGCAGACCTCTGCAGCAAGGCGGCTGAGCCCTCCCCGTACACCATCTTGCTCATCTGCCTACAGCGGTGAGTCGGCCACGGTGGACGGTGGCGGCGCGTGGACGGTGTTTGGGTGCGAGCATTGCGATGAAGGGCGCCTGGCGCCGTTGATATATGTAAAAACTGCAGAACGCGTTTGACTTCGAACAGAACCTCTCCTGTACCACGTGGTTGTATAGATGTATACCTAATGGCTTGTGAGCCGTTCCATGTGAACTGTCATAACGATTTGCTAGGACTTGCATTGAACTACGCCCTAGGTGTTTCAATGCATGCTGGTGTGGCTGTATCGTGGAGGCGGTTCCCGAAGTGGGCAAGCTGTGTGCTCTCACTCATATTTGGCATAAATCATTTGGAGCAGTAGTCATCCTCTCTGTTACAATTTTTCAAGAAACGTTTCTCCATATTGGTAAATAGCACGCCTTAATGTTCCATACAACGGCTAAGGTGTACAGACTCGGGATGTTTTTAGTCGGCGTGCCCACCATGGTGCCGCCCTCTCCTCTGTGACCTGACTCGGACTGGGGGTGGTCTGGTTCCTCCGCAGAAACTTTGGCCTGACCGGCAACCAGGTTGCCTGCAAGCTGCACACCAACAAGCACCAACACAACGAGTTCGAGATGACCGTCGGCAAGCACACGGCCCGCGTGCCCTGCAAGAACAAAAAAGACGGCAAGCACCTGGCGGCCCAGTCCCTGTTGCAGGTAGGTAGTTATTGTGTTTTAGGGGCGCGGCGTCAAGCATAGTGGTTATTTGCGGTGTGCAGCCCGGTGTGGGGGAGGGGGGAAAGGGGGGGGGCGTGTTTCGGAAATCACGGCTCGTTTCCTGGAGGGTGTGGACGGGCTCGTGAGACAGTAGCGTGGGTTTTAATGGCATGCAATGAGATTCGTCTGCCATGTTGTTCTCACTTTAACAGTTTACACTTTTGGTCGCTCGAAGAGTCGAGGTTTGTGAACAACAGGAGGTCGGCGAGTGCCGGGGTTTGTCGTCGCTTTCTCGGGCGGTATGCGGGATGCGGCATGTGCTTTGTTGCATCATCTTGAGCCTTTTTCGCTCCGCGACGCGCCCCATCCCCATGGACCGGGCCGAACTGGGTTGACCCTGGCCACAGCCAAAAGAGCCGCTCCGTGACCGCGGTTCCCCTCCCTCACCCCGCTCCAGCAACTGCACCCGCACGTGACGTCGTGGGGTTCGCTGTTGCGGATGTATGGCAATCACTCGAGCAAGTCGCTGAAGGTGAAGCGGCAGGAGGAGCAGCAGATCACGCTGCTGCAGAGCAAGGCCACCGTCAACTCGCCCAACTACGCCATCCTCGACAAGTTGCGTGCCGAGATGAGCAAGTTGCAGGAGGTCCGGGTAAGTGAGGAGGGTGGCTGGACGGGTACGACACCATGGAAGGACCGGGTGAGTGGGGATGGTGGCTGGACAGGTACGACACCATGGAAGGACCGGGTGAGTGGGGATGGTGGCTGGTATGGGTGTGACGCCACAGGAGGTCCGGGTGAGTGGGGAGGGTGGCTGGTATGGGTGTGACGCCACAGGAGGTCCGGGTGAGTGGGGAGAGTGGCTGGTATGGGTGTGACGCCACAGGAGGTCCGGGTGAGTGGGGAGAGTGGCTGGTATGGGTGTGACGCCACAGGAGGTCCGGGTGAGTGGGGAGAGTGGCTGGTATGGGTGTGACGCCACAGGAGGTCCGGGTGAGTGGGGATGGTGACTGGTATGGGTGTGACGCCACAGGAGGTCCGGGTGAGTGGGGATGGTGACTGGTATGGGTGTGACGCCACAGGAGGTCCGGGTGAGTGGGGATGGTGACTGGTATGGGTGTGACGCCACAGGAGGTCCGGGCGAGTGGGGAGAGTGGCTGGTATGGGTGTGACGCCACAGGAGGTCCGGGTGAGTGGGGATGGTGACTGGTATGGGTGTGACGCCACGGGAGGACCGGGTGAGTGGGGAGAGTGGCTGGTATGGGTGTGACGCCACAGAAGGTCCGGGTGAGTGGGGATGGTGACTGGTATGGGTGTGACGCCACAGGAGGTCCGGGTGAGTGGGGAGAGTGGCTGGTATGGGTGTGACGCCACGGGAGGTCCGGGTGAGTGGGGAGAGTGGCTGGTATGGGTGTGACGCCACAGGAGGTCCGGGTGAGTGGGGAGAGTGGCTGGTATGGGTGTGACGCCACAGGAGGTCCGGGTGAGTGGGGAGAGTGGCTGGTATGGGTGTGACGCCACAGGAGGTCCGGGTGAGTGGGGAGAGTGGCTGGTATGGGTGTGACGCCACAGGAGGTCCGGGTGAGTGGGGAGAGTGGCTGGTATGGGTGTGACGCCACAGGAGGTCCGGGTGAGTGGGGAGGGTGACTGGTATGGGTGTGACGCCACAGGAGATCCGGGTGAGTGGGGAGAGTGGCTGGTATGAGTGTGACGCCACAGGAGGTCCGGGTGAGTGGGGAGAGTGGCTGGTATGGGTGTGACGCCACAGGAGGTCCGGGTGAGTGGGGAGGGTGACTGGTATGGGTGTGACGCCACAGGAGGTCCGGGTGAGTGGGGAGAGTGGCTGGTATGGGTGTGACGCCACAGGAGGTCCGGGTGAGTGGGGAGAGTGGCTGGTATGGGTGTGACGCCACAGGAGGTCCGGGTGAGTGGGGAGAGTGGCTGGTATGGGTGTGACGCCACAGGAGGTCCGGGTGAGTGGGGAGAGTGGCCGGTATGGGTGTGACGCCACAGGAGGACCGGGTGAGTGGGGAGGGTGACTGGTATGGGTGTGACGCCACAGGAGGTCCGGGTGAGTGGGGAGAGTGGCTGGTATGGGTGTGACGCCACAGGAGGTCCGGGTGAGTGGGGAGAGTGGCTGGTATGGGTGTGACGCCACAGGAGGTCCGGGTGAGTGGGGAGGGTGACTGGTATGGGTGTGACGCCACAGGAGGTCCGGGTGAGTGGGGAGAGTGGCTGGTATGGGTGTGACGCCACAGGAGGTCCGGGTGAGTGGGGAGAGTGGCTGGTATGGGTGTGACGCCACAGGAGGTCCGGGTGAGTGGGGATGGTGACTGGTATGGGTGTGACGCCACAGGAGGTCCGGGTGAGTGGGGAGAGTGGCTGGACAGGTATGACGCCACAGGAGGACCGGGTGAGTGGGGAGGGTGACTGGTATGGGTGTGACGCCACAGGAGGTCCGGGTGAGTGGGGAGAGTGGCTGGTATGGGTGTGACGCCACAGGAGGACCGGGTGAGTGGGGAGAGTGGCTGGTATGGGTGTGACGCCACAGGAGGTCCGGGTGAGTGGGGAGAGTGGCTGGTATGAGTGTGACGCCACAGGAGGTCCGGGTGAGTGGGGAGGGTGACTGGTATGGGTGTGACGCCACAGGAGGTCCGGGTGAGTGGGGAGAGTGGCTGACACGGACAGTAAGCCCGGTCCTCACTGCACACGTACACACACCATCCACCCGTTCGAAGCGCGTCTCCAGAACGCGGGTCCGCGTTGTCCCGCCTCACGCACCCAATCGGTTCTGCAAATATTTACAGACATCGCATGCAAATATTTGGCTTAGCGGTGAAAGCGGGTTTTGCGTTCTGTATCGTGAACGTTTGTACGTACGAGTTGTGCTGTTTTGTATCAGTTTGTGCTGTAATGGATAGGTTGTTTCTGACAAGAAACTGGTTATTATGAGAAGCAGCCCAGACAAAACCGACAAACTAAAATGCACCCATGTAGTGAGTCATTTCAAATGCAATATCGAAGGCTGCAAACTTCGTTCCATACACTGCATTGGCGCAACCACGACACTTAGGACGTCTTACATTGCACTTGACGGGGCACCTCTGGAGCACGTGCGACACGAACATGACAGGACATTGACACGACAAGAACTGACAGACGACACTGACGTTCTTCAGATGTGCAATCGCCGAAGACACCTTTAAATTGAGGAAAGCATATTTATTACGTAAATTGTTCAGTGTATTAGCAAGGAGCATTATTCACATACATAAGGCATTAGCAATAGCCTTATTCCTCAGAGAAAAACCAGGAGAATGGAGATATAGATGGGCATATAGATATAGTTAATATTTGGGCAACATGCCTTTATCAAAACAACAGCAGAAGTATTCACATTTCTGCTATTGCTTTGATAAAGGCATGTTGCCGAAATATCAATCCATCTATATCTTCATTCTCGTGGGTTTTATTCGAGGAACAAGGCTATTACTACTGTCTTATCAAAGCGTATTTATTAACGGACTGTCTCCAACCCTAAACAGTCAAACAAGTTCTTGCATAGCCCTTGAGTTATTAGGCGGTGGGTGGTAAGTACTTTGGATATGATTGTGGCAATGTGTTATTGTCTTTAAGGTGCTTTCATTATGGGTGTATTTTATATGTATCAGAGTAATAATACGATTTTGTTTTACTTGAATTGCACATGCCTCATCTGTCTTTTCCGCACTAAAAGATGTTTTCCAGATAGCATTGCACAATTTTCATTCTCAGAAACTCAAAGCGTATTTCTTGTGCTATTAACACTTTTCCTACGATAAGATAAGGTCTGGAAACGTAAACATGTACAGACTGACGAACATATGAACGATGCTGCACGAACTACCTTTGTTCTAAACGATAATGGCTAAGTCAAAAGCCTGGAAGCTCGAAGGATGCATCAAATTTCGCTCAGGTTGAGTGAGCGGCCATTTGTGTGAAACACGCATATATATATATATATATATATATATATATATATATATATATATATTACAAACAAGGCAGGGTTTAATTTCCTGTTTAGTTAGAGCGGGCTCCCTTCCCCCTCTCAACTGGAGCTTCAGCCCCTCCCCCCCCAATTAGGGTTTCTATCCTCCCCCAGCTTTAAGAATGGATAAGCCCGTTGTTGTTATTGTTTTTTTTTGGGGGGGGGTGGAGCGTTTTGTACTGCTTTGCAGCACTCCATTCTAGTTCATTTAGCAAAACTACGCCCAGGAAACTAGGATCTCATTAACGGACAGACAACCTGTAGTATGACACCGTCATCTATTGCTCAATTGGTATGTTTCCAAGCCATCAAAATTCATCTGTGTGTACATTGCAAGCAGGTTTAAATGGCATTGTCCGCTGGAAGTCGCCAAGGGGCAGAATGCCGTAATGACTGACACTTTGGACCTGCCTTTTCTTTGTAGCGAGAATGATGTAAAATGAAATGTCTCAGCCGTGGTTTTGGCGGAGAAACCTCATGAAATTAGAGGTAAATGATTTGCTTACTTATGGATGAGCTATAAGGGAAACAGGCACGATGGTCGATATACGGTATTGATGTCGCCCACCCTGAGCGGTATTGATGTCGCCCACCCTGAGCAGGCGCATCCCGGAGACCACCACCGCGACCCGCTTAGCGCGCGGGGTGATTGTCTTGGGGAGGGTCTAAGCGGGCGTGCTGGTCTACTTGTCCGGCACCCCCCCCCCCCCCTCCCCACCACCACCCGGGCAAGGAGACCACCACCGCGACCCGCTTAGCGCGCGGGGTGATTGTCTTGGGGAGGGTCTAAGCGGGCGTGCTGGTCTACTTGTCCGGCACCCCCCCCCCCCCCCCTCCCCACCACCACCCGGGCAAGGAGACCACCACCGCGACCCGCTTAGCGCGCGGGGTGATTGTCTTGGGGAGGGTCTAAGCGAGCGTGCTGGTCTACTTGTCCGGCCCCCCCCCCCC